AGCCTGGGGGCGGTGGGAAGGCCCTGGGAGGCCCGTGGACCACTCCGTGCCCTACCGAGCAAGGGCACCCACCCTCTGGCAGAGCAGCCTAGAGTGGCCTGCGCGCCCCAGTAGGCCCTGAAAGCCAAGGAAGCCCCAGCAAGGAGAGTCAGGTTAGACCTCCGGTCATATGACTTCTTAGGCTGGGCCAGGACAACAGGCAGGGTCAGGCAGGCCAGGGCACAGGAGAAAGATTGTCCCCTAGTCCGGGTTGGGGACATATGCCCGTAATCCTTGCAATGGGAAGGCTGAGGCAGGAGGATCGCCACGAGTTCAAGACCAGCCTGGACTACATAATTAAGTTCAAGGTCAGGACCAACTCAAGGCCATGTCTCAAAAAAAAAAAAAAAAGATATTTAAAAATGAAATAAAGCAAGGAGTCATCCATGTAAGGCTGTTTTACAAGGCTGTCAGAAATGCCCAGCCCAAGGTCAACAGTCTAGGGAGGAGACAGGCAGCTGAGGCCCTGGTCATTCCAGGGCTACGCTCTTCCTGCTAGCCAGGTTTCTCCTCCTCTGCAGGATTACAAGAGCAAGGCCTCTGAGCCCTGAGCCCCTGGCCAGTCCCTGCCTTCAACCAAGGAAGCCCTGTGCCGATGCTGGGGCTGCTGGGAAAGAAGCCATGCAAGGTGGGTAGGAACATTGCCATCTGGAGCTGATATCCCTGAGGAACAACCTGGGTCACCAGGGGCTGGGGCGGCGGGACAGGGCCCAAGATCATCCATCCCAACCCTGGGCTATACCTGCCCACATCTGAGCTGGCTTGCAGGCCTCAGGAATTTATTATTATTTTTTTTTTCGTTGCCAAAGATGAAACCCAGGGCCTTCATACTAAACTAGGTCCTCAGCACCTTTTTTTTTTTTTTTTTTAATCTTGGGATGCGACCTGGCAAAGTCACTAGGTTGCCCAAGCTGGGCTCATATTTGAGATTCTCCCGCCTCAGCCTCCCAGAGTGTGGTAATTATAGGCTTTAGCCACTACTTCCGGCTGCCCAAAGTGAACTCGTTAGGATGTGCACTGGCCAGAGCTGAGGCTAAGTCTGGACAGCTCTCTGGGCTCCTGCAGCGCCTGTCCTTCCATTCCCTGCTGCTGTCCCTGAACCGGGGGCACACGCAGGGCAACCCAGCCACAGAGCTGGGTCCCGCCCCTCCCCAGCTGGGCCCCGCGGCGCCGTTTGGATTCCAAGGCCCCCCACTTTACAGGCCCAACTTTGAGTTTCCAGGAACTTAAACAAAAACAGGGCATGGGCAATTATCTGAAAAAGAGATCATGCATTTTTTCCATCCTTAGCTTCCAAAGATGTCTCACACTCAAAAACAAAAGTGTCAAATCAATTTAGCTGAAGAAAAAGCCGCAGGCCGCCAAAAGCGGCCCTTCCTGCCAACCCCGAGCAGGGGAGGGGGTTTGGGTCCCTGGCTTAGCCTCCTCTCTCCTCGGACTCCGCCCCCTGGGAGTCTGGGGGCTGCCAGAGAGGATCTTGGGAAATTTCTCTGAAGCACCTCCCCCTTTGCAAAATCCAATATCTTTGTATCCCCACATCAGCAGCTTGGACGCCTCTTACCCTTTATTTCCTTTCACTGAAAGTTACTCTTTTCCGAAGCGGGGCTTGGTGGTGCACGCCTATCATCCCAACACTCGGGAGGCTGAGACAGGAGAGTCACTGGTGGGCTCTTTGCGTCACTTTGGCGGGGCTGGGCACAGGTCAGATCTCGCATCCGGGCACCTGCAAAGGCCTAGCGGATGGAGGGGGAGAGAGATTCACACTGCCCTAGCCCGCAGTGGCAGCACCCAGTCCCTGCCGGGAGGGCAGGCTTGCCCCCACGCAGGACCAGTCCTGCTTCCGGATCTGCGCTGACACAGGACGAACAGCCCGGATGACCTGGTCCCACTTTGCCCCGGCAGGTGGCAGGCTGGAGGCGGCCGACCACGTGAGTGCCCCGTGGATCCCTCCTGCTCCGCCCATTGTGCTGTAGACCCTTGCGCCACACACAGCTCAGGATCTGAAACGTGTGTTTCCTAAATTCATTCAACAAGCCTCCCCGGAGTCCTCAGGCTGCACCAGCCCAAGATCCCCACCTTCTGGGGTCACCGTCATCACGCTGGACCAAGCCCCCCAAACTTCAAGCTTCGTGTTTTGTTTTGGGGTTTTTGTTGTTGTTTTGGTACTAGGCATCCATCCCTGGGCCTTCACAGTGAGCTACAGCCCCGGCCTCCTTTTTTGGTGTTTTGAGAGAAGGTCTCACTATGTAACCCAGATCGGACTCACAGTGATCCTCCTGCCTCAGCCCCCTGAGTGCTAGAATTACAGCATGTGCCACCACACCCGGCTTTCCAGTCCTTTTAGAATGTTTTTATTTTGAAATGGGTTCTCGCTAAGTTCCTAAATTACCTAAACTGGGCTCAAATTTACAACTCTCCTGCCTCAGCCTCCCAGACTGGCATGCACCACCAACCCGATGTTCCCTGAAGCAGCTGAAATCCGTGCCAGCAGCGCGGTGGACATGGCATCCAACCGACCTGGAGCTGCTCCGGAGGGATCTAGGCGACTGGCGCTTAGAGGTCTGGGGGCTGAGGAGCCTCTGGGGCACAACCGGGAGCAGCGGCCACCTGGCCTGGGCCCTGGCGGTTCCACTTTCTTTACTTTCTGTGTGTAAACAGCTCAGGCCTGGCGTCCCTCAGCCTGCCTTCGCCCTGAACCCTGAAGCCCCGCCCCCGCAGGGCAAAGCCAGCTGGGTCAGCCCCTTTCACACTGGAGGAGGGGCTGCTCCCTGGTCCTCTCTGCGAAGATTAGGGCCTCCCAACCTCACCCCCGCAAGCCCTCCTTGGTGTAGCCACCCTGGGCCTCGCTGTCAGCCTTCCCTGGCCGGCACTCCCAGCCCTGCCTCACGTTCAGTCCTGCAGAGTGAACCACAGACCACTGTGGTCAGTGACAATCATTTGGCCACAAACCCACAACCTCAGCCCTTTTTAATAAGGCGAAAGATTTATTCGATTTGAAGAGAAACCAGAGTTTCCTCGGCCCTTTTTAAATTTTGTATCTGAGACAGAGTCTCGCTAAGCTACAAAGTTGCCCAGTCTGGGCTCCAGGTTTTGATCTTCCTGCCTTGGCTCCCAGAGCTCCAGGATGGTGTGTAACCAGGACATGTGAAA